ATATATATATATATATATATATATATAGAGTTACAATTAGGTACTGATATTCTGTATTACACCAAAAATGTTCAACAAGCTTAAAATAAATGATCTTATCCTTTAAATCTTTAATATAAATGAAATGACATCCTTGTCAAAGAGATTAATAATCTCAATGGATTTCTTTCCTGGTAAAATAGGCTTAAAAGAATGTTAATGATGGAATAGCTCTGCTCGCTCCTTTCTACCAGCTTTCCCTGGAAAAGTCAACAAATCACTAAAAGCCCAAGATTCATGACAATCATCCTCATGATGACTGTACTTAAACTTCTGACTGAAACTGGCAGAAGCTATAGTGACGGATGAGGTTTCAAACCGTTGCACTTTGTTTGAACCAGGCCTTGCTGTGTTGCCGCACACCGAGGGGTCTCTGTGCAGAAATATAAAAAAAGACGAAGTGATAAAAGTTAGAAAACCAAATAAAGTTGCTTCCCTCTCGGTTGATGAATGTTCTGCCCTCTGTTCCATCCTGGTTATATAATCCCCAGAATAATTAGCTGTGTGCTTTAGTCACTTCCTGTAGCGCGACCCTCAAACGGACACCCTCTGCAATCTGGCCTATCAACTTACAGGGCGCCAGTTTTTTCCCCCTCCTCTCTCGCTTTTTGAAGGCCGCCTTGGCTTCAGAGGCAAAAACAAGTCTCTGATCTGACGGCTAAAGGAAAAGGCCCCTGCAGCGTGGCGTTACCCTCTGATAAAAAATAAAGCCTTGAAAACCATTTGTGCAACACACACAGAGGAAACAAGAAAAAAAACGGGATTAATTTGGTTGTGAAAACAAGAGGCGGTACGGAACAATGACAATCTGGCTCCTTTGGTAATTTCCTGTCGGCGTTCATTCGTGTGATGTGGTCGTGACTGTTCTGCCGGGATCAATCAAACCTGCGAGCAGATGGCATCGTACTCCTCCAGCAGACCGGGGGGACTGCCGGGGTTTGTACTTTTGTAAAATTTTTCCAGAGACGGTAATTGGCCTGCTATGCCGCGGACCGGAGCGCGCTAACAACTGCTGCCATCGCCGCGGCAACGCCGAACGTTCTGATCCGAACGAGCTACAGGCTCCGTTTAATATCAACTCATACTCGTGTTCAACACGGCTGCAACTAAAACGCAACGAAGACACACGGCTAAGGTGCACACTTCAGCCACAAAACGCTACATCGACTTCGACACTTTCATTTATCTTCCAATTTCCTCACGAGGGTCCAATCTTTCCGTGCACACGCCTTACCATCACCAAGACAGAAGAGTTGGGAAAGTCTCTGAGCTTGTGCAGGTGAATGGACCAGTGTGGCAGACCCAGGAAGCTGTATAAAAGAGAAACGGCGTAATTGCGTGTGCTGTATGAGTGTGTGTGTCGGAGACGCCGGGGTACTTCAAAGCTTTGATGTTGCAGCTCCCTAAATGAGGGCCACCAGAGGTCCGGACTAATGGGACATCATGGGGAGATTAGAGGCCAAGTGGAGCAGGCTGGCAGCGCAGTAATGTGTGTATTCTATACGGCAAAGCAGCAGAACACGTGTGTTTGTTGTGTGTAATTAAAAATCAAAGTTTTAGCTTGTGGGTAATTGGACAGGAGGCATCTCGTTATATACCGTCACTCCATTAATGGTTCAAAACTGTCAGTTCGGTATAAATCCTTTATTAAATTATCATAACAGTAATCATCATAACAATCATAAAAAGAGCATTTCTGTACAAAGACCCCTTCAAAATAACAGCAGTCCTAGCAGTGTGAATAAGGGGTGTGAATGGGGGATGTTCTGTCCTCGTTTAGGTTTCTGTCCTCCCAGGCAGTAGGGGGCGCTGTGGCTGTAACGGTTAAATTAATGATACTGGCTCCAAAGGCAAGCTGGACCCCCGAGGCTCCAAGGCACTTTGAAGAGAGTCAGTAGGGTCCGTGGGTGTGGGCCTCAAAGGAGAGGACAGCTTGTGTGGTGAACGGGGGGGTGTCGTGTCTACAAGTCAATCCATGGGATTTTATTTGCAATCCAGAGTGTGGTGGCGAGTGCGTGGGTGCTCGAGGACTCCAGTGTTTGTGAAACGGGGAGGATGCGGACTGTTGTTCTGTACATAGAACCGTATGTACAAGTGCGGTGGTTGGATGTTCGCGTGCACAAGAGGGAACGCTGTGCTCACGATGCATGAGTCCATTCAGAGCTTGCAACACCCCCCCACCCCCTCTCTGAACGGTATGAAAACCTTTTTGAAAACAAAAGTACAAATAAACAAAAACAAGTTGGCCACCGTTAGCCGATATGTTGATGCAGGCGGAAGTGGGTGAGGATGGGGTAGGTCCTTTCAGTCATGGCTTTTGAGGTCCACATGGTGATCCTTATTTTCAGCGTTTTCCACAAACACTTTAAGGCTTGCTGTGTGCCCCGGCACACATTCAGTCGATTGAGAGGAGCTCCTGTTGGGTCAGTTTTGTTTCTATTTAAACACAGGGTCATCCCCGTGAGCGAGCCAGGGGGGGGTTAGTGCTCCATCCTTCACAGTTTCACTTGTTCCTTCCTTCGTTTCAGTTCCTTCAGGGTTTCAGTCTCTGCTCTTACCAGCAATCCATAGGTTGCACCGTCCAAATCCAGACCTTTTACGATTTACGGTAATGTAAACATGACCTTTCTCTTCGACAAGAACCAGCGACAACAGTCTCGAACAACTAAATCTAACAATAACGCCTTTTTGTCGTTAAAAATAATGCCTTAAAATGCCCCCCCCCCCGCCTACCTCCACACATATTTATACTTTCTTCCACTAAACTTACCGTCCAGCCCAGACTGCCGACAGGCCAGAAAGGAAACATTAAACCAAAAGAGACTGATTGAGCAAAAACTCAAGGGATGTCAATGACTAAAAATACCACAGACTGTCAGGAACTCAGAGGATAACAGAGACTGAGAGGTGGCAGAGTCAACGACGGAACAAAGGAGTCAAGGGGCCAAACAAAGGAGCTAAGATCTAGGCCACTGTGTTCACATGTGATCAAAAAATACACTTTCTAAGGACGTTCCTAACCTATCACCTCTCCAACACGATGTGTCCGGCTCTGTCTGTGTACTTTACAGCATCCAGTTTCAAAACTAGACAAATCTATGATGCGTTTAAAAACATTTCTCTTTAGGTGAGCCAGGCATTGGTCTTTGATATGTGTCGATATTTGAGGCCCATCATCCCTACGATGGAGCGGTCCTTAAAGGTGTCCCCCAAGTCCATCGTTCATTGGTCCATCGGACAAAAACCAATACTGGACGGTGCCACGTTTCCCCTAGACGAGATCTCGCTGTGATCTGCGCCACTGAGGAAGTCAGCGGGCGCTAAAGTGAAGAGGTGAAAATGACGAACAACAGTGCGAGGTGTCCACACTCAAAACGCCCGCTCATCAAGCCTCGGTGCAACAGCGCTGCTGGTTGAGTTTGACTTTGTGCTTGAGGCCGTCGTATAGTTCGAAGTTGTAGTTCTCCAACGTGGTGGATGAGCGCGACGACAGGCCGCTGTACGAGCACGTGCAGTAGAGGAGGAGGCCGGCGCAGACCGCGCCCAGGAGGACGCCCAGCGAGCTCATAACGATGATGGTGACCAGGATGGGGTCCAAGGTGTACAACCAGGAGTTGTCTTTCTCCGAGACGCTCGTCACTGGAGGCTCTGATGATGGAGACGCCGTGTTCCACTCAGGGAACTGCAAACCTGTGGCAGGAAGGGAAGCAAACCAACTTAAAGGACAGTCCGCAGAAGAGACAAGAGAGAAACAGTTCGCTCTTTGTTGAGCAATGGACGGTCAGTAACTTCTCACCTATCCCTTGCGGGTCTCTGCCGCTGAAAAGTCGCCCATCTCCAACTTCATTGTGTCGGTTATCTGTCAAAGAGAAGCACAGGACACACTGACCTTTAGTCAAGTCGAGTCAAATTTATTTATAAAGCACATTTAAAAACAGCAGCTGTTACCAAAGTGCTTACCAATAAAATCAATGGCTGTAATTAAAGAAATAAATGATAACAAAATGTAATTTAAAGTGACAAACAAAAAACATAAAACAATAAAATACTAAATCAGACCACACTGTGTTAAAAGTCAGTGAATACAGGTGTGCTTTTAGCAAAGATTTAAAAACAGGAAGTGAAGTAGTCTGTCTAATGTTGGGGGGGGGGGGCAGATTGTTCCAGAGTTTGGGGCCCACGACTGAAAAAGCCCGATCTCCTCTGAGCTTCAACCTAAAGCAGCTGGTTGGATGATCTCAGCACCCGAGAAGAAGCATATGGTTGACGTAGCTCAGAGATATGAGGGGGTGCAAGGCCATTTAGGCACTTAAAAGTCAACAGGAGAATTCTGATGCGTACAGAGAGCCAGTGAAGGGAGGACAAAACTGGGGAGGTATGATCAAACCTACGAGTTCCTGTTAGTAGCCGAGCTGCAGGATTTTGGACGAGCTGGAGACGTGAAAGGGACACCTGACTGACCCCAACCTAAAGAACGTTACAGCAGTCTAGTCGGGTTTTAATGAAGGCGTGGACTAGTTTTTACAGGAACAGAGACAGCAGTAGAGTTAGGGCTAAACATAAACACAGCGACATTCGTTTTTGGATTGTTGAAACTTAAAAAAAATTGAAGCCATCCGTGCCTTGATGTCATCAAGACAGTTTAACAGAGGGTGACTTGTGCATGAACTATTTGGTTTTAAGGGCAGATAAATCTGACAATCATCAGCATAATAATGAAACGAAAGACAATGTTTCCTCAAGATAGACCCCAAAGGGAGCAGATAGTGCAAACAGAAGGTGTCCAAGAATCGAGCCTTGCGGAACCCCGCAGGAAAGAGGCACTGAAGTAGATAAAAAATTACCAACATTAACACAAAAGCTCCTGTCACTCGGATAAGAACGGAAGCAGCAAGCCAGTTTACAAACGAAACAGGATGCCGAAGCGCCAAAACTCGTCCTGTGACTACAGACGAGTCAACAGCAGCGCACTTTCAAACATCTGCAGAGAAATAAAGGAATCTGACCGAGATGGAGCGACTTCACATAAAAACTAGAGCTGAATGCGATGAAACATGGAGAACTAGTGCATGGATAAACAAAGAACTAAAAACTTTGGTTCAGATCTTGTTCATCTTTTTTAAACGGCGCTGAATAATTAACCAAGTCAAGCTTCAAGGCCTTTTAGTGTGGCAGTCAAGATTTTGGTGTAAAAAAAACAAACAAACAAAAAAAAACATCTTTGGTCGGTATATAGAAAGAACACAAAGACACTTTATGTTGTAATAGAAAAATAGGTCTTTATTCATAGAGAATTTTCATTAAGATACATTCCAGTCAAACACACGGTCATCACATTAGATAAAGATCGTATAAGACTGCTCATTCTGTGTGGACACAAACGCAACAAAATCCTCACAACGCCGTCGTTTGAACCAGTTTAAGAGCGGCGCGTTGAAGAAAATAAAATGAGGAGCTTGAAAAAGTGTTTTCTGACATTAAAGCTGAAAATCAGACGACTGGTGGGACTAGAAATGGGCTGTAGCTCAAACGCTCAAGTGTACTTTGGAAGAGTTTTCTTTTTACTTTGTGTCTGTGTGTGTGTGTTTGGTGCTTTTGGCAAGCGTTCAGGAGTGGGAGTAACTGCTTGGCAAGGCACACGTCTAGATCTGAGGTCTTTGATGGCCGATGGCATTATTAAGACGGTTTCCAGGGCAACAGAAGCTGGCAGCAAATGGGGTCGATGGAGGTCCAGCAGATGGGGGTTGGGGTGCTTACTGCAGCCTTAATAAATGCTACCTGTCCATTAACTAATTACAACTATTCGAAGCGTGGCGTGTAATGGTGCCGAGATGGATCAAGTCGGGCGTCCGAGTGGATTTAAAAGCATTAAGTGGGCGTGTGCCAAAATAAAAAAAAAATTAAAATAAAAAAAAGGGAGTTGTTTTTTTTTTTGCACCAGTGACAAACTCAGGTGTCTTCTGCAGAGTTGCAGCTGATCGTGCAGCTGTGGCAGACCTGGAGAGCGACGCCCCATTAGGCGGCATTTCATTTCATTCGAACCAGCTGAGCTCGGATCAGATCCGATCGCCCCCGGAACAACTGCAAGGAGGGAAATCTGGGCCAATTTGTTCGTTGCGGAGCAGAATTTCACAACAGATTATGTTTAGATCCTACACGTGTTAAATATTTGGTAGAAGTGTTTTATTTATTGAAAAAAAAAAAAAAACCCTCGTCAATAGCTTCTGGTATTCATTATACAACATCTCAAGGGGTGAGCGTGTACACAGAACAAACCCTCCACTTCTGGCTTCCAGCTGGTCCAGCGGCATTGTGGGATTTGTAGGAACATAAATCAAAGACCAATAGGCGATGGCAGACAGCTGTGTCTATTTACAACCCCAAAAACAACAAGCGCACAGTCGGGCCGAGAACACGACGAGGCCCGGCGTGGCGCTGCTTTCATCTGGGTAGCTCAAAGACGAGTTGGGGGTGGGTGGGGGGGAGACAACTGTAGTGGGTGGTACGGAGCGTAAATGGGAGTGGGGAACAACGAGCTTTATTACACAAGAGAATCAAGATGAAACAGTAAGTGGTGAAGACGGCGGCATCTATCACCGGCTCTATCAGCAGAGGACGAGCCGCTCTATCAGACGAGCTGCTCATCTCCGCTTGAAACGCACGCCTTTAAGTAAGAAGGAGCTGCGTCCTGGTGGCTTTAAATGTGCACATGCTGTTAAAAAAGGACAATGGGGGACACTTTCTGCCTCCTTTTGTTGCGGTCCCTCTCACTCTTGGCACACGTCTTTTGATTGTTTTTCCAGCCACAGCGCAGCCGACAGTTCTCTCCTCGGCAGAGCTCCTCAAGTCTCTTGGCCCTCCGTTCAATTCCCAGCCCACACCAGTCCATGTGTGCGTCCATGCTGGGGTCATTCTGAGAGGACAAATAGTCGGCGCTCCATGGCCCGAATCGAGATGTTCGGAAAAATAACTCAGCTCTGGATCCATTGCTCATTACGAGCGGCGTGGTGGGAAACGTTCAGAGGAAGCTCGTGAGAGGCCGCAGTGTCTCCGAAGTCTTCATCGAGCGGATGCTCCGCCCACAAGCAGCATCACGACTCGTACATCCCAGAGACGTCGTCTGAAGCGGCACGTCTTTTCAGCAGAGGGTGCGGTGTCTGTCGCGGCTGTCCAGCCTCACCGTCAGGACCGGCTCCACCCCCGGGGTGGCCATGCTGGTGGACCAGTTTGAGTACTGGAAGCACTGCGAGGAGCTGTGGTAGGCCACGGACAGCTGGCTTTTCTTGGTGGCCAGGTGTTGTCGACAGCAACAGAGAGCTCTGACCAAGATGGCCGCCGCCAGGAGAAGGAGGGCGCCTCCGGCAGCCATAATGTAATACCAGTGGATTGGCAAGGGAGGCACAGGAACGCCTCCCCCTGGTGGAGAGATACACAGTAATTGGCCAATGGGTAAAATAATAGATTTATATCCATTTTGGGGGCTTTAACTAACAATCAAAACCATAAGAGCATGCCCAAACATGCCAGTTGCAAAAATAAATAAATATCCCAGGCAATAAAATAAAAAAAGGAAAGCATCCATATCGGTCGCGCGGCTTGGATGGCCGTTCGAGGACAAGTTTTCACACCAAGATCATCCAGAGATTTGGTTCGATATCAATCCAATCGAATGCAAATGGAGTCAAATCTGTTATTTTGAAGCTCAGATGACGTCACTTGGTGTGAAATCGAAAGCCATAAGCTATCAGTTAAACAATAACGGACGCACATGAAGCTGAAGAGCTTCCTCTTCCTGTTCTACGCCGGCACAGGATGTCACAAACAGCCCTCAGAGCCATGCAAGAGCCAGCGGGGCGCCAAAGCCAACGTTCCAGAGGCGACACCGGACCGCGCGGTCCGTTATCTAACAGGCTGACTTGTCCCGAGTTTGTAATTTATTCTCTTCTTTTGTCTCGTTTTCCTCCTCCGGGCCAGACCTCTCCTTGGAGACAACAACAGATCTTCTATCCTGGCGTGAAACTCCCTTTTCTTAACACTTTTGGCTTCCAAAAGGCTCGTCGGCTCAAGATGAAAGTAAAAAAAAAAACCTTCTAAATCTCACGTTGAGTTGGTGACGGTGAGCTCAATGCTTCCTGATATTTGGACCGTGTCACATAATTACAGGGTGAAATGGTGCGTGATCGTGCTACTTCACACTGCACACCCTCATTAGGCAGAGGAGATACCCCACGCTCACTCTCTGTCTGATTGCTTTCCACTCGGGATGCGCCACGTTTCTCTCTCCGAGTGAAGGCTTTGAGACTGAAAAGCTGAAGAAATGCACACGCATCACAATAAAAGCGCCGAGCTCGAATCTTATTGCGAGGCATTATGAGACGCCCAAACACTTGCATCAATCTCACCGGGCTCCCGCAGGACGCTCCAAATATTTTTCCATGAGGCAGACAGTTCTTTAAATCTCTTCTGACAGCCTCCGACTGGAAAGACGGAGCTCTTTGCAAACGTCTGACTCTACGCTGTGGCCTTGATTTCACTCAGTTAAACTAAAACTAACCTACTTCTCCCCCACCCCCACCCTGAAAGGCAAACAATCATAATTTGAATCCAGTCGTGGAACCAGCGAACAGGAATCACAAAAAAGGGTTAAATCAGGTCATCTGGACAGTTTCTTTTTGGGAGAAACCAGTGCTTAATTTGTAAGCCAAACAATGCCGGAACGCAAATGGCATTTTTGGGGGGGGGGGGGGGGGGGACTTCTCCAGAAAGTATTGAACAAAGTAAATGCCATATCCTGTATTTTAATGGGTTGCTAAATATCTACGTTTACCTACATAAGTAAACAGTTGATTCAACAACTATTTTAGAGTAGCCTGACCAACAGCTCCCCTTGTGTGAATAGAGCACGCTCTGCTTCTCAAGCATTCCCCCCACCCCCACGTGCTGAGTAGAGACGTCATTTTTAAGCCGGGCCCGCACCCGGCCAAAAAGGGCCAGGCCAAAATAATGTGCTGGATGGGCGGGCCGGTGTCTGACTTTTTATTGCGTCAGCGGACGCGCGCGGCTGAAGATCCAATCACCAGCCATAAGCGTCCATTTGACTGCACGCTGACCAGCCAGTTGAAAGAGGTAAAAAAAAAAAAAAAAGTCCAGATGGACCACTGCCAACAACCCACCTGAAGCTTAACTGGACTCAGCTGCTGGACGCGCATGGCGGACAACTCAATATGGATCATCAGCCGCGTGCGTCTGCTGACCGTTAATCACTATAATAACAATAATAACTATAATATTGTAGTAACTATAATATTATAATAACTATAATAATCCGCTGACTCTTGTTAATAAACAAGCAATCTTATATCTTCCTTTCTTTGAAAAAAGTTTTTAAATCATGCCAAACTGATTTGCTTACGAAAGCAGGAAAAGCTTAAAAAAAATAAAAAAAACTTGTATTTTTTTTCGGGTTCGGGCCTGTAATCACAGTTAATTGGTCGGTTTCAGGTCGGGCTCATAAAAAATGATATGGTTTCAGGCTAGGTCAGATTTTTTAGGCCCAAATGCAACTCTAGCGTCGAGTACTTCAAGCGCCTTCAAGTGCTTCAGTTCTCCGTTGTGTAGTTGTACAACGGGAAGACTTTTTAAAAATGAAAGTAAATTGGACCGTCTTTTTGCCATTTTGATAGCTGTTATTTTGAAACGTGACGTACGTCACATGATTACCCATCAAATATTTGTCATATTTTTAAATAAATAACCACATTTTATTAATGACCCACTTAAACTTGTTTTTAATTAAATTGCCCATGACTGAACTTTTAGGAGCGGAGATTTTTTTAAGGGTACAAGTGGGAATGCTACTTGAAGGGGCAGCTCTGATATTAGGAAGCACGTAAGTGGCTGTTATGTTTAAAATGAGTGTTTATGTAATTATTTTCAGTTTAAAAATCCAATATATGTTTTATTTGTTCAAGGCAGTCAAATTTGTTTGTAAGCCTGAGAGTTACTAGATCCAAGCAAACCGTTACCAGAATGCTCCCTGTAGAGAGTTCCCTGATCCTGTTCTGGCAGGATCCGGCTCAAATTAAGCACCGGGTGAAACATTTTGTCTTTCTTCCAAAATACTTCTTCAGTCTGAGGCCTGCCAACCCAGATCTGTCTTATAAATAGCACCTCCTTGATGTGTTTCAAGCCTGCCCTCTGTGGAAATCCCAGAAACTTAAAGAACCTGTCCAGATGACCTGATTTAACCTTTTTTGTGATATATCTACCTGGATGATTGAGCTTTCAAACCTTTCACTGAGCAGAAAGTTATGTACACCTACATGGACTTTTGAAGTCGAATTGATGTAAGATGGCTGGCACAGCTAACCAGCTATAGAAAACACAAAAACAGCTAAAGTTTAGTTGCTTTTGTGGCAGGTATTCAGCTAAAATTTGATGCGGGAGTAGCTGAGAGTCATCTCCAGCAGACACTGATCAGTTTCTGCAAAGCGCTGTTTTTAAAGTTTTGACGGACACAATTAAAAACAAAAAGGCCATTCTTGTTTAACCCTCGGCGTAAAAGCAGGTAAGCTTTTGTTTTGAAGGATCGGCGGCTCTTTTATTTTGTTTTAGTAAAAGTTTAGTGCCGTCTTCATGCTGCAGATGTTTGTTATTCCGATCAGCCAAAGAGAGCGCCGAGGCTCGTTTGTTGCGTTAACGAACAGGATGCAAGACCGAGCGGGAAGGAGGAGGAGGAGGAACTCACCTGGACTTTCAGGAGAAAACGCCGCGATGGGTTCTGGTCAGGGAGACGAGTCGAGGCAGCGGGGACAAGAAAGACGGAGAGCGTTAGATGAGTTTAAAACACGACGGGGAGAAAGTCAGACAAATGTCAACACAAATGTCAGAAGAGCGTCAAACTTCCCCCGGCACCTCACGTGAATTATGGCATTTACCGAGCTCATGAGCAGAAATGCAATTTCGTATATTAGATGGGTTCGAGCTCGAGTGTGTGTGGGGGGTACTCATAAAGTTCAGACAAGAAATTTATTGGTAAAACTGGAGCGGGCGGGCTGAAAACGCTTTGATTCTCTGGAATGCAAACTGATGTGTGTAAAAGGTGGTTGACAGTGAAGGAGCCCACCTTGGGAGCCGGAGCCTTTTGGCGGGAACACAAACGCACCGTGAAAACACTACACTGTGCAGCGTGATAAGAAACATCCCAGCATGCTTAGGGAGTGGCGGCGGAGGAGGAGACAGACGGGAGGAAACAGGAGCATGGAGGCAGCTCTCTGAGGATGCGTGCGACACGTAAAACAGAAAAATATTGTTTTAAATTAGGCGACAACACTGAAAATGACGTTCTTTTGTTTACGCTGAGGCCCCTCCCCCTGGTTCTGTCTGAGTCTCCTCCCCCTGGTGGGCGTGTTCTTGGCTGCAAACCCAGAGTTCAGCCTCTGATCTGTTCAAGAGGCTCCCTGAAGCCCCGGCTCGGGCCAGATGAAGGCGCTCGGCTCGCCCCGGCCTCCCAAAGCTCGACTTGGGGAAACATCCTCTCAGTAATTCCCTTTGACGGCTCGGGAAGAGCTCTGTTTACAAACACGACGCCGGAGCGCGCGAGGAGAGGAGGAATGGGATGAAACGTAGATTAGCATCGCTAAAGGCCCACGAGGCATTTATGGCCCAGTTTTCTCTTCTTTGTTTCTGTGAAGAAGTCAAGCCTCCTCCTCTCTGCATTCAGTGAGCACAAAGACCATCTCTGGAACTCTTAGTGGAGCTCAAGATCAAATCGTTTGATGTGGGGTTCTGTGGAAAGGTGATGAACAATTCATATCTTACCTGTTGCAGATAGCTCTTTGAACAACCTCAGTTTAGAGATTTGGAGCCGAATTTTGATAAAACTGACGAGGTGGTGGCTAATCTGAGCACCAAAGTGGATTACTGCTGTCTGCATATATAAAGGGAGGGGCGATTACTGAGTGAGAACAGCTGATGGCTGACAGGAAGAAGAAGAAACGAGCTGTGGGCTATTAAAACGTACTAAAAACTTTAAAAAATCCAAAGAAAAACTAAACGAAAACAAAAAATAAGCAGTACACTGATGTCTCCTTCTGCCCCCACCCTGGTGAGCGGAGGGAGCATTTTATCCCCCACCAGGTGCAAAGGCGAAGCCAGGGGGTGGCCAATGGTGGCCTTGGCCCCCATACATTAATTTTTGGCCACGCCCAATCATTTGAGGAAACTCTACTTTTAAGAAATATAAAAACAAGAAGTTTCCCCAAACAATCAGGACGGCCAGTTTAAACACGTACATGGTGGCAGCCATCTTGGATTTGGATGTGGCAACCCAAATTACGACTAGATGCAGCCACACACCAAAATGAAAGTCGGCACTTCACTAATTTTCCAAGTTATCCAGTTGAAAAAACGGACGGACAAACACTTTAATCTCCAAAAATGAACAAAAAAAACCAACCTAAAATCATTAAATATTTACACAACATGAAACAAACCGCAACGTAATGGTATATAAACAATCATTTACTCAGACTAGCTGTTCTCACTCTGCTCCATTTCTCCAAACAGGTTGTTGCTAGACTTATAGAAGAACAACACATATCATACTGGTATGTGGTTTCTCCTTTTTCTTTATTATCAGCGCGTTTTAAGTTAAACTTTGCGAGTCGACAGGCGCTAGCAAGAAAATCTCTAAGTCACCGTATTTCATCTGCTAACTTTCCTTCACGTTTCAACTAAACAAACGTTCAGTAGCCGCAGACGAGGGAGGAAATCCTCCTTCTTGGACGCTGGAGTTTCAATATTTGTATTTCTGTGTGGATTGGCAGAGAGTTTTTCGAACAAAGAGCCATCTACAGCAGGTAAGATGATAACCTTTTCACAGAACGCTTCTTTTAGCTTTAATACAAAGCAGGACGGAGCCGCTGTTTGAGACTTACGTGTGCACTCTTTCAGGGGGGCGCTGGCGCTCATGCGGATGTTGTCTATCCAGATGTGCCCTCTGGCGCCGTGCACGAAGAAACCCTCCATCACGATCTAACGCAGACAAAACGGAAAGCCAAGACGAGGGGCGGAGGAGGAGGGAAGATGGGATGAGGGTAGGAAGAGGAGCATGGGAGGCAGATAAAAAGTTAATTTGACGCCTTTCAAAGTTGCGCTCAACACGCCGTCGTGTTCTCCGAGAGGTTTTCCTTCTTACGAGAACATTAACTGCTCGTGACGTCTGGAAAAACGTTGATACAATTCACCGAGATCGACTGTGTGCTAACTAGAAACAACCGCAGCCGTACCTGAAAGTCTTTGGGGGAGCGAGGCAGGATGGTGCGGCCCTCCTTCCATACGAAGCTCTGGTCGTCTTTCAGCGCCCAGAGGACGGTGTCCTCGTCGTGCGTGTCCCGCAGCAGGACCCTCAGGTGGCCCTGGGCCTCCCCCAACAGCTGGTACGAGAAGATGAGGCAGAGCGGTCCGGTGTCGGCGGCGATCACGGGGCTCACCAGGTGGGCTCGCTGCTGCTCCGTCTTCAAGCTGGCGTCCAGGTACAGGTAGCTGTTGAGCTCTGAAAGGAAGACGTACCGTTACATGGCAGGATCACCGCTCAACTCTGAGTGCTTTACATTTATTCAACGTGAAGTGCTGCCTCCATCAAAAACATTAAATTAAGCTGGATTTGATGTATTTACAAAAAAAGAGACCGTCTTCGTATAAACCTAAAAGTTTGGGTCTTTTAAAGCCGTGAACGGCTCATATCTAACCTGTTGTGGCTTAGTGGAGGAACCGTGTTTTCCAAACTGATGAGCTAATGGCTAGTCCGAGGAGGTCAAGACCAAAATGGATTGCAGCCACCTTAAAACGAGTCTAATCTAAACAAGAGCATTGTTTCCTCTACCATTCTACAAGCAGCACCTCCCCCGTCAACGACAGCCGGTACTGATGCAACGCTAAGCTAGTGGTACGCAATACAAACGCGCTAGCTAAAAAGCTATCTCTGCAGCGCTCGTTTTCTTCAGGCTAATCCGTCTCCACCCCCCCTTATGCTTGAAAACTGTCGGTACAAACGGCGAGCAACACATACGTGCCTCCATGCCCCTCGTCGACGACTGCCGGCACTGACATAGCGCTAAGCTAGTGGTGCGCAATACAAAAGCGCTAGCTAAAAAGCTATCTCTGTAGCATTCGTTTCTTCACTCCAACTTCCACTTGAAAACTGTTGTTACAAACAGTGAGCAACACATACGTGTCTCCATGCCGCCCCCCCCACGATAGCCAGTACTGACTTAGCGCTAAACTAGTGGTGCGTAATACAAACACGTTAGCTAAAAAGCTATCTCTGTAGCTTTCATTTCTCCACTCCAACTTCTGCTTGAAAACCGTCGGTACAAACAGTGAGCAACACATACGTGTCTCCATGCCACCCCCCCCCCACGATAGCCAGTACTGACGTAGCACTAAACTAGTGGTGCGTAATACAAACACGTTAGCTAAAAAGCTCTCTGTAGCGCTCGTTTTCCTCACACTTATCTGTCTCCACCCATCACATCACACGCTCGTCGACAAACGGTTAAACAGCACTCTATAGCAACTGCCTCGTCTAACCTTTGACCTTGATTTGCGACCTTGGAGCAGGGGTGATGGAGCGATTACACACCACTCCGTCTAGTGATGATGAATACATCGTATCGAGATAAATTATCTTGAACGGAGGCTTCACCACATCTTTCAATGCGCACATTAAAAACTTTTACAGCAGTTCACGCAAATTTCATCTCAAAGATATTTTTACCGCCGTCAATTCCACATCAACCGTTAAGTTTATTAAAATTTTGTGGATATTTGTAATCTTCCTGTGCAGGCCGGGACACCTCCAGCAAGGGTATAATCGAATATTTTAAATGTTTGTATGAATCACTGCTCCGTTTTAGAAGCTGGAGTTGTTTTGGGACAACAGCAACCCCACTTTGGTTTTGGTCTCCAACTCTGGGGTAACTATCTGCAGCAGGTAAGATATTACTTGTTCACAACCTCATTCATAAAGACTTGAACTCTCCCTTTAAATACAAAAAGTAGTTAAAAAAAACCCTGATTTTATGGACTTTCTGTAGTAGATTCTATGAAATAGTCACCTTTTCCACAGTAAATAATCATCCATGCACGAGCATGTGCGCGCTCAGTCACACAATAATCACCATTAATCACGCCTAAAGGCAGACATGTCCACTTACAGCAAGCGTTTTCACACAGTAAGACATTTCCAACACGACTAAAACAAAAATCGGCACCGATTGCCAACAGGAACGAGATCTTCGCCGCACAATGGCTACGAAACGGACACGACAAAAATAAACACTGAAGAATGGGCCACTCAGACACGGAGCGCTACGTAAACCCCCTCAGGAGCCGTTCCTCTTCCCCCTCCTTCCAGGTGAACGGAAAAGTTCCCACCAAGCGCACGGCACTTCGTTTGTTCACACCGGAGGATGTTTAGTTTGCAAACTGGACACCAAGTCCGTACGAGAGGAAAGCGACTGGATGTGTCGGGGAGTGAAAAGTTTCTCTAAGTGGGCCCGGTGGGAAAACGTCCAGTATCAACAATCAGTGCATTAAATCAGAGGCTCCACAGAACCAGCAGCAGGATTATTTAGCTCAGATTACGGACTAGCTGGTTTGGACTGGACGTTCTGTATCTGGGGGACCAGTTGGACTGGTCCCCTCTGTGCAGACAGCACGACTCTGACAGCACCTCCCTCAGCCCCTGGACGCCACCGGAACGAGCAACTCCTGCTGCGTGGGACTTTCTTTTTATTTTTAAGGAGTCTGCATGAAAAGACCTCCGGCTGAAACGTATTCAAGCATTTTATTGTTCTGAAGCGCGCCTCCTGTTCGCCGCACAGCTCATAATCGAGCCCGCTTTTATAAACACGGGACGACAAAGAGTTATTAATCTGTTCCTGCTGCAGACGGAAGCAAACAGTGAGTCAGTCTGCGAAGCAACAGCAGCCCACGGCGGATAATTCTGCCGTTATTACAAGCTGGGGTCAAAGGTCACGTCCGACCTATGACATCAGCGGGAACAACCAAAGGCCCCATGTCCCCCGTCTCTGAGAGGTTTGAACAGTGAATGTTTGTAGCTTGAACAGAGAATGAACCTAAATGTTTTTAGGTGCAAGATATTCAACATCCTGGATCCTGGAGAGCAGAGGGAGACGTTTTCTCCACCACCAGGGGCAGAACCAGGGGGTGGCCAATGGTGGCTTTGCCCACTATAGATTCATATTTAGCCATCCCATAAACCACCACAATAATTGAGGAAACTACACTTTTAAGCATAATGAAAACTAGAAAGTATGGCTTCCTCAGATGATAGTGGTGGACAGTTTACAGATAAACATGGCGGTGGCTGTTCCTCCACATCGAGAGGAGCCAATTAAGGTGGTTCCGGTATCTGGTAAGCAGTGTTTCCCCTAGTTTCCTCGCCTTGGCAGGGTGCTCGTTTCTTCCGTGATTTTTGTCGATGAGGTGGGGGTTGGGCTCAACGTGAGGGAAACGAAACGCTACTTGGCTTTTTAGCTAGCGCGTCTATATTGCGCACCGCTAGCTTAGCACAACATCAGTACCATCAGTTGTCAACCTGGGGTGGGGGCTTGTATAATGATAGGAAAAACACTGGGTGAGGATGCTTCCTGGGCGCCTCCGTAGGGAGGTGCTCCGGGCATATTGGACTGGGAGGAGAACCCATTGAAGATCCAGGACACGCTGGAGAGACTACGTCTCTCGGTTGGCCTGGGAACACCATGGTGTCCTCCCAGAGGAGCTGGAAGAGGTGGCTGTGGAGAGACATGTCTGGACCGCCCTGCTCAAGCTGCTGCCCCCGAGACCCGACTTCGGAACAAGCAGAAAATAATGAATGGATGGACGAATGCCGGTGGCCATCTTGGATTTTGAGGTGGCAACTCAATTTTTGATAGTGACCTTTCTTGCGCCTAGATGTAGACCCACACTAAAACATGTCGGTACATTACTTTTTCAAGTTTTCATGCTCACAAGACGTACTAACGAGTAGACGGACTGATGGAATATCTGACTCCACGCTTCGCTCCACGACGGGGCAAGATGGAGCAACCTGAGCGAGAACTGAAACCGTTCGGTGATGAAAGAAGCTGCGCTGATGATTGAAAACTAGTAATGACCGGAAATAGGGGCACTTCCTGTTTCGTCCTCCTGGGTACGACCCTGATGACATCACAACTGTGGTGTACAGGCTAAACAGATTCTAAAGAAGTAACTGGACGACAAACGTCTCATTTGTTGGTTAAATGTATTAAGCAGTAAAAACCCTTCCAGGAAGCTTCCTCGGTCGCTTTAAACAGCGTGCCAAAAGCTGCACTTCTGATCTGTGGATGTGTGTACAGCAAGAAGGAATAATTATTTCTGCAGGGAATGTCTAAGGAGATGGAAGTCTACACAATATCATGTGCCAGACGTAATGGAGGGCCAGGAGAGGACAAGTGGGAATAATCGTTCTTCTTTGGAGTCTCCTGCCCTGAAATTAATCGGAGCTACAGGGTCCCAGCCCCGTCCTGCTGGGGCTTTCTGACACACTGAGTGTTATTCGTCACACGTGAGGCTGAATAATGCGCGTCTTCTCCTCGCCGGTTCCCTCAGTTCATTTTCATCTTAGAGCCCTCGCCGAGCAGACGATGCCGTGGCTAAATTAGACCTCTTTCAATTTAAAGGAACTGTTTTAATAGAACCGATGAAGACGCAGAGGGGGAACGACTCCGTTTAATCGTGGGAGAACGGCGTGTCGTCTGTAAACGATGACGCTGATAAAACTTCTGCACACGTTTTCTGCACCTCGAAAAATTCTCCCTGGATGAAAGCTCCCAGCCCAAACTGAAACTGCCCAAGGGCAAACTTCAGCTAACCAGTCAGGGAATTCAACTTAGGCCTGTCGCGATAAACAATAAATCAATTTATCGCATGATAAATGAAAATTATCAACCTCATTTTCATTTACTGGCTTTATCGTTTCGTCTCTCTCTTTCTACTGAAGACACTGGATGACAAAAGGCTCAGCTCCGGTGCTCTTCACTGACTCCTCCCTTTCTCTTTAAAATCTATTTTAACAATCCAAAATTGTGTTTTTGGATCGTTAAAAGTAGCTAAGCTGAGAAGCTAAGCTACGAGCTAAGCTAACAGGCCGACCTTGGGGAAAACCCTTCGTCTTGTCGAAGCTCCAAAATTCACGATTGAAACCCGTGCCTTCTTCTAAAAAGTTGTTTTTCTCTGCAAAAAGAAGCTGAGAACTTGTTTACTAATTTTTTTATTAAAAGCTTTGTGTGAAAAATGCTATGCTAAATAGCTCAAACCACACCGAGCGGCTGCCATTTTGAGAACTGAAAAGGAAAGAGAGACAGCCCATGTCACGTCAAGGGGCCTCCCTCCCATTTTTCTTAAACAGACACGCTGTTCGCTCCCTCACTATCCATCCTTTGGTTCAAACAGTCTTATACTACTATCCAGTGGTTAAAAAAAAGGTACTACACACAAAAATGAACCAACTTTTTAAAATTTATTTGGCAATTACTAATTATTGTCAAATTTCAAACAATATTATCGTTTATCGCAATAATTTCTGAGACAATCGCCCAGCAAAATTTGTTATCGTGACAGGCCTAGTTCAACAACAACGAGGAACACAGCTGAGATCATGTAAACCGTATAAACCTACATGGATGGCAGAGAGGTGCAAAAACAATAAACGTTGGGGTTAACGAGTCAACGTGACGAGGGGTACGTTGATGTCTCCGTCTCTGAGGGATTTAAATAGTGACTGCTTTGCAGTTCTGGAGATGAGTGCTTTTCTAGACTGGATCTGAACAAAGAATGAAGAAAACCTAAATGTTTTTGGTGCAAGATATTCAAGTGAGGAGGAGTTACATTGTGGAGAAGAACATTTTTTGTTGTCCGAGGCAAAGCAGAGTGACGGATCCTGAGTGGAGACATTTTATCCACCACCAGGGGTGGAGCCAGGGGGTGGCCAATGGGGGCAATGGCCACCATAGACTAATCTTTGGCCACCCCAATTATTTGAGGAAATTATACTTTACAGCGTTTCCCCTAATCAGTTCCCTTGGTAGGGCGCTCGTAGCATTTTATTTTTTATTGACAGGGGTGGTGGTGGTGAGGGCGTCTGTGTTGCCTGCCTGCTACGTTATTGCTACGTTGCTACCGGTTTTTATCAATGGGGGGTGAGGGGTGGTGTTACATCTGTGTTTAACGATACGTTAATACGATAATTGTCGACGGGGGGAGTGGTATGACAGTAGCATTTTTGCTAGCACGTTTGCACCGTGCACTATGCTACATCATTACCGACAGTCGGGTGTTCGGTAGGCAGGACGCTTGGTGCTGTTGACATTAAACCTCATCCTGTGGCATATTTTCCTCAAACGACAGGAGTGGTCGCGTTAGATAAAAAAAAATAATAATAATTATAGCGGTGGCCATCTTGAATTTTGATGTGGGCAATCCAAGTTTTGATATTGACCTTTTCTACGTCTACATGCAGCCACACGCCAAAATGGAAGCCTGGTGTCAATTTTGTGAATCTTTGCAAACAAAGTTTGACCCCTCAGTGAGTGAGACCAGATTCTCTCACCGTGCCTGTGCATGGACCAGAGCAGCGGGGCGCTGGAGTCGAGCGTCCATCCACACAGGCCGTGGTCAAAGTCGCACATGTTGTCGGATGACGAAGTGGAGGCTGGGAAAAAGAAAGACAAGAAAGTACAAACATTTAAAACCCAAAGCACTCCAAGGAGGTCTCGGTGCTCGGCGAAGATGATAACGTTGATCTCTGACCTGTAGTTGTGACGGGGACGGTGGTGGTTTCTGCGCTTGGAGGCAGTGTTGGTGTAACTGTGTCGGCTGGCGTGCTGATCTCTACAGAAACAGAACGGATCACGGGTTAGTTCAGACGTCGCTTAATGAAAGACAGAAAGTACCAAAAAGGAACTCGGTAAGGTAGCTTCAATGACCACAGAACAACTGTTTTGATAAACCCAAACCACCATGGTCTCTACTTCTTCTTGATCTTTAGTTAAGGATTCTGGAAGTACATGATCTGGTTTTCTTTGAGCTTTTATACTTTAGTTTTTAGTCTTGTGCTGTCATTTCCAACAGAAGTCCTCAATGGTTCCTAATAATACCACCTGGCTTCCATTACTAATCAGCACACTTAGCCCAAGGGTTGCTGTTGAGATCCTGAACCTGTTTTTGTTGCGCCTCCGATTGGGTCTTTCTAACAACAAAAATACTGCTAATTATCACAAACTATTAAATATCAGCTGATTAAAATAGCTGTCTGAATAAACTATATAAAAATTAGGCATTTGCTAAAGCAAAGCCCCACAAACACCCCAAGAAAGGTATGTGTCGACTAGCTTAGGCATCAGCGTCTAGTTAAAACGTGCACACACACACGCCTGACACTAAAGCTGATGGATGGATGTGTCGAACAAACTCCCCTCGACCTTGGATGGGATGATCACACTCCAAGACCAATATCTGTCTGTCAGCAAGTCTCTGCACAAACACGTAGCATCCATCTCACCGCACGCACGTGTTTTCACCTCGTATCTCAAACGCAGGTGGAAAAACAAAACCTTAACCTCGACTGAACGCACCGGAGTGGGCGAGTCATAAGCATAGGTGTCGTAACTATTATATGTGAAGGGGATGTCCCCCCCCCACATTTACCATGAAATATTAGTTCACCTAGCACTGTTTCTACTTCTTCATGAACAAATCCATTCCACTTGATTAATAGAATACTCAAACCACTCAAAGTCCACTCCAGGTTTTCCTGGTTACCAACAACAACTCACCACACCCCATGCGGTGTTTCCTCGAGGTCACTCGGCTTGGCATGACGTTCATATCTAGTGGAGTTTTTTGTCAACGGGGCGTTGGGGGGGAGACACCTCTGTGTTGCACACTAGTTTAGAGATACATTAATGCTGGCAATTGTTGACTGAGGTAGTTGGGTGGGGGGTTAAGATGCGTGAGAGAAGCCGAGTGCTACGTCTGTAGCGTCTCATCTAGCGTGCCTGTATTGCGTGCCGCTAGCTTAGTTCTACGTTGGTCTCGGTGACTGTCGACCAGGGTGGGGCGGTTTAGGATGGGTTAGGTTTCCTTAGATAGAGAATTTTACTAATTGGCTTTTCTATGTATGTGAATGTTCCTATAAAGTGCCCTGAGACAACTTTGTTGTGATTTGGCGCTATATAAATAAACTGAACTGAGAGAAGCGGAACGTGCTCTATTCACACAAGGGGAGCTGTTGGTCAGGCTACTTCTTGTTGCTCTCTACAATAATTAGAGTCAAGTGTTTACTTATGTAGGTAAACATAGAAGTTTAACAACCCGTTAAAATGGACTAGAATGCAGGAAATGGCATCTACTTTATTCTAAATTTTCTGGGGGAGGACCCCCAGACCCCCTTATACACCGACACCAGTATGTCCCCCCAAATTACAAATGCTTCTGACGCCAATGGTCACAAGGATAAGTCAACGTTAAGGGGAGGTTATATAGAAGTTCGGATCACATCTCAACCACAGATTATAATTTATCACGTGAACAAACCGATGTCTCTTTCACTATCAGCTCCGTAAAACAATTAGCCACATATTTACACGCTTTTGTGCCACTGAAGTGGAAACACACGGCCTTGTTTTGACGCCAAAGCAAATCCTTTGGCTCGTGATGCTTCGTAGCCCTTTGTCGACTTTCTCCGACTTGTCTTTAATCTAAACAACGCCGCTAATCTCACGCGAAACGGGTTTCAAAGCGAAAACACACAAACATCTAACTGATTCATCACACCGAGTGTCACAACTCCTGCGGTTTTCTTTTTCTTTATGACCACCGTTGCCATTTAAAGACGGTGAAAAGCACTAAAGGCGGCGAATACAACGTGACACACGGTTTGAAAGAGGCTCCTGAATGCATCGGCGCCCCGGCTGGAGGAAAGGCGAAGATGAAAGACGCGGGCTCAGCTGGCGACAGCTCCTGACATTAACCCGGCGTTAATGCCACGTCTTCTCTGCCAGTCATTTACTTCCTAATGAGACTCTTATCGCTGCTGGGAAGGTGAGGCAAAGAAAGCAACCCTGGTCCTCAAAAGTCTCCCTCCTCCCCCCTCAGATTCTCACTCTTCTTGCTCTTTATGTTTTAGTTTTTTTTCTTCTCAATCTAACCTTTTGAGTTCAATCTGGAGATGAGGCGTTAAAATACACCCCAAAAACACACATATAGTCGAGTCCATTAAGATTCTCCCTGGCTCGGTGCCTTCAAAGGTCAGGCTCTGTCACGGTGTAAATGTGCTGACCTTTTCAGGGCGTGACAGCCGCGTTGAGGGCAGCGCCACCGACTTGTGCATTGGTGTGGACGCAAACCGGAGGAAAGTGCCGGACCACACGCGACCTGCCTGCGAGCGCTGCTCATGATGCGAGCGAGGACGTCCTTGCAAAGGTGTCCAGGTAAGTCCCCCTGCAGCAGAGCGTCGCCTAACATAACGACTTCGCCGCTGCGCTACGAGCACGTGACAATGATTTTGAAGGCTTTTCAGCGCACACGGCCAAAAAGACACCGCTCACTCCCGCAGAACCTGACTCAGCAACGTGTCAGAAGAGGAATAATAAAAAATAAAAAAAAACTTTTCAATTATGTAGAAAGCTTTTCCGTAAATCTCTCCCTGGCAGTCCCAGGAGCACTGATGAATGGACACACGCATGCATTCATCTCGGGAGAACAAGACAGGGGGGGGGGGGGGGGAAGCGGCTGATTTCCACCCTGAGTGAGCCCGAACAGATCCGGCGCTTATTTTAAGAGAAGTTTCACCCCGAGAATCGAATCACTGGAGTTTAGAGTTGCTGTTTCTGCACAAAAAGTGAGGATTTACCGTACCGGACAAAAGAGAATGCAGAGTTTGCCGTCATGACAATATTGATGTTGCAGAAAGTCCTAAACACAAACTGCGTGTTGATCATCTACGTTTGGCAACCAGATGGAGGTCCAGTCCTAAACGTCCTCAGCGTAGATGACACAAATGGTAATTACCGTATGTTCTGGTGTATAAGTCACAGATTTTTTGCATAGATTTGTCAGTCCTGCGACTTATACATGTTTTTTTTTCATTATTCGTAACGCAATTTTTGACTCCAGCTTTAAATTTCTAAGAACTGCAACAGCGAGTCCTCCCGTGCGCGCTCGCTTCACTCAGCTGGTGAAGGCGGAGGAACGCTGGAGAGCTAGTGGCTCCGGCTGCGATGGATGGCGCCGCGCCGCCCTGACGAAATGAAGCCATTTTGATCATTAAATAAATGCATAATAAATGTGACTTGTACGCCGGAAAATACGGTAAATTATAGGAGTGAGGAAAAACGTTGGTTTTTATTAACTCATATCGTCAGTCATAACATTGCATGTGCACGTTTTCCTCGGTTTTTAACTGCGTAAAGAAATTAAGCTTTAAATGACTGCAGGTGTAAATAAAACGTCCAGGGACAGATTTTGTACACAAGGTTTATTTGGAGAAAAGTGTCTACCGTAATTTTTGCTGTAGAATTTGCAGATTTTTGCATAAATTAGCATGCCCAACGACTTATACAGCAAAGAGACGTATTTATATCCCCCCACCCCCATAATAATAATCCAAATTGTGGCTGAGATCTGACGATTTCATTCAATCTCACATGGAAAATATTGAACACTACCATTTTCAGCCACTAGAGGGCGATCTACTAATATGGCAAGCCAAGTGTCTCATTAATAGGTAAAAGTGGCTATTAATGAGACACTTGGCTTGCCATACAAAGCCACCTTCGTCTCACTCTGGAACTCCTGGGGCAAAGGTGTCTCAGCTGAACTTTTCCTTAATAAATACAATGTAATGGTTAAATCAGCTACATTTCGCCTGGGCGGCACGGTGAAATGCAGCTGATTTAACCTTTACTGTTACGTCGAGCAAACAAATAATTATTTTTAGGTGGTTATCTTGATAAACTTCAAACAAATGCACAGCGAGTCGTCCCTCTGCGCGCTCCCGCCAATCGGCTTTTGAAATAAATCTGATTTGACCGTCGGTGTGCATTCATTAACCCTTCAAGTTCAACTGAGACACACCTTTACTATAATTTCAAGCAAACAAATAATTGGTTTTAAGTGTTAATCTTGTTAAAGTCGTCCCGTGCATGATTCCGTGGCCGCAATTTGGCAGCCAATCTATTTTTGGCAAAACACCGGCCCGTCAGAGGTGACGCATAATAGATGCGACGTATAGCGACTTATTTATGTTTTTTCCACTTTATTAATAAGGTATATTTTATAGTCACAGCTTGTCTACATGTATTATATTTTCTTACATGATTTTTTAATGAGTATGTTTATTTATATTGATTGCATAGCATGTCCGTATGACGGCATCATGTGATTTAAAACGGCGCCACACATTTGAACTTCGTCGTGCTCAAAACATCGCCTTCAACAAACGAGTCAAACGTGAAAACCAAAACGCAAAACCAGCACAACGGAAAACAAGACACTCAAACCGTTAACTCAAACGTAGCCGTTTTTACACAACTTCGTGCGTTTTCGATTCATTCTGAACAAGCGGCACGAGCGAATGTTTGTAGTTCTGGAGATGAGTGTTTTTCTGGACAGAGAATGGAGTAAACCTAAATGCTTTTGGTGCTACACATTAAAAAGTGGGGAGCAGTGACACTGTGGAGAAGAACAGAGGTTGGTGTTTTCTGTTTGTTTGTCCGAGGCGGCGCAGAGTGACGGATCCTTGAGAGCAGAGGGAGAAATTTTAGCCACCAACAGGGGCGGAGCCAGAGGGTGGCCAATGGTGGCTTCGTCCACTTTAAATTAATCTTTAACTACCCCAATCATTTGAAGAAACTATAATTTTAAGCAATATGAAACCTCATAATATATTTTCTTCAAACAACAGGAATGGCCGTTAAGAAAAAAAGACATTTGTCGATTGGGGGGGGCATGCCTGTCCTGCACACCGTTTCGAGCAGGGAGGTGTAGATGGCTCAGTGTGAGGGCAAAGGAGTGCTACCTATGGTTTTTAGCTAGCATGTCTGTATTGCACGCAGCTAGCTTAACACTACGTCAGTGCCCCTAGTTGTTTACGGGGTGGGGGGGGTGTTGGTTTGGTAAGCAGGACAATCAGTTCTGTTGACAGAGCAGGGCACCCTGCTTGTATAATGGTCGGGGAAACACAGAATATACAGTGGTGGCCATGGGAAGAGCCAGGAGGTGGCCGATGGTGGCCTTGGCCCCTATAGCTTAACCTTTGGCCACCCCACCAGCCACCACAATCATTTGAAGATACTATACTTTTAAGCGAAATCTCCAAATCTTTTACGTGAGTTAACTCGCTGCAGAAGGGAGCAGCCGAAAGAACTAACTTATAAATAACTGCATATTCTATTCTAATAATTCTCAGAAGAAGAGAAAATAACATTTTTACTGGTTTTTCTGAGAGGTCGCTGTAATTTCTGCACCCGACGACCTCCAAACACAAAGAACACATTAATTATGAGGTGGAAACTTTTACTGCTGCTTCAAATCTATCATCATCTCTTCGTGAGCTCTGCCAGATTAACTGGGATTTGAAGGGAAGTGGAGAAACAGCGAGGTAAAAGACACCGGAGGTCCAAATTATAGGTGTGCACGAGCGTGTGTGAAGTCGGCTTTTTATTGCTCTCAACACTAAAATGGTTCTACCTGGAAAAAAAGCTCAGATGATTCCTCATATTTATCTTTCAAGTTCCATTCCCGAGCTTATAAATATTTAATTCTAGGACTCTGTACACTAAAAAAAGAGCAGTGTAGTGTGTGAGGCGGCGGTGCAGAAACAGAAGGACCAACAGTGAGCTTGGAGAAGAGGTGGAAGTGATGACTAACGGGAGAGGAGAACAAAAACATTTAGAGGCCCACGCACTGAGCCTCAGGCTGGGAAAGGAACTATGTGGCGGGATGAGAGGAGAAAACGGATTGTGCCTCTCTTCGTTCAGTCGGTACGACGCTCGGTCAGCGGGGGAAATCGTTCATTTCTTCAGCCTAGATGGAGTAAACAAGCGCAGTGAAGACGTCGCTGAAGACGAAGCGACTCGGAGGGGAAATGAATGATTCACAGGATGTCAGCAGCAGTCCTACGTTCCTGCTGACTGGTTCTGGTGCCGTGTGAACAGTGTGCGGCCGCTGACAACAGTTTTTTTTTGTTTTTGTTTGTTTTGTGAAGAAGTCCCCCCCCCCTCCTTGAACTCTTCATCCTCTGTAAGAGTTGTGGAGTTTTCATTTTGTTCCCCTCTCCGTGGGTTGTTTAATGTGGTGTTTTCCATAGATCGCTCGGAGATCGACAGCTAATGTAAAACACATTGTTTCCTGTGTTTCGCAAGAGATTTGACTGGGAACGGCCAAGGAAACGCCAAAGGACCAGGCGGGGGCCACTAAGCCTTTTCTACAAACCTCTCAGAGCGTTGAGGATGACTCTAAGCTACTACTACGGCAAATTTTACCTGAATACCTGTAAAATATGCCGTATTATTTTACATTATTAGTGCTTAGCGTACATCTTAGATCTGCTAGCGTATTGTTTAGCGTATATCTTAAATCTTTTAGCGTATAGTTTAGCATATTTCTTAGCTCTTTTAGCGTATTTTTTAGCATACATCTTAGATCTTTTATTGTATTGTTTAGCGTATATCTTAGCTCTTCTAGCGTATAGTTTAGCATATTTCTTAGCTCTTTTAGCGTATTTTTTAGCGTATATCTTAAATCTTTTAGCGTATTGTTTAGCATATATCTTAGATCTTTTATTGTATAGTTTAGCGTATATCTTAGATCTTCTAGCGTATAGTTTAGCATATATCTTAGCTCTTTTAGCGTATTTTTTAGCGTATATCTTAAATCTTCTAGCGTATTGTTTAACATATATCTTAGATCTTTTATTGTATAGTTTAGCGTATATCTTAGATCTTCTAGCGTATTTTTTAGCGTACATCTTAAATCTTTTAGCGTATTGTTTAGCATATATCTTAGATCTTTTATTGTATAGTTTAGCGTATATCTTAAATCTTCTAGCGTATTGTTTAACATATATCTTAGATCTTTTAGCGTATTGTTTAGCGTATATCTTAGATCTTCTAGCGTATAGTTTAACATATATCTTAGATCTTTTATTGTATAGTTTAGCGTATATCTTAAATCTTCTAGCGTATTGTTTAACATATATCTTAGATCTTTTAGCGTATTGTTTAGCGTATATCTTAGATCAGACTGACAAAGCCTTCCTGATGGAGGGCGAAACTTCTCAGCACCAAAAAAAGAAAAAGAAACTGTCCAGATGACCTGACTGAACATTGTTGGATCTACTGTTACGTTGATGGTCCTCCTTTTGCAAGTGAACAGCTAGTTCTGGCTGTCAGCAGCCAGCTGGTTGGTCCATTATGAGAAGAAGCTATGAATTAGACTGGGTTTCTTGCAGGATTTCAGACTGAAGAAGTCTTTTGGATAAAAGCCGAAAACGTTTCAACAAAGAAGAATCTGTCCAGATGACCTGACCCAGTCTGGTTAGATTATCTACCTGAATTATTGAGAAGCATCTGGACAAATGCTTAATAATGGTGTTTATTGACTGCACCAAAATAAATTACTAAATAAAAACATGGACAAAATTTAATGCGTGGCTGACTTTTTCCCCCCAAAACACAAAACTAGGGTTCAAATCCATCCAGCGGTTGGTGAGAAATTTTGCTAACAGGCAGACACATGTGCACACAAGAATCGCTTGCATTTGAAAAACCACTAAACTGAAAAGACGGTGCGTTTATGATGCATTCACTTCTCTTTATGTGCAGATCAAACAACTTTACAGGAAACTTCTGTGACGTTTTTAAATATTTACGGCAGCTGGAAACGAGTCCGAGCGCAAAGATTCAAACGCGTCAACGAGAAGCATCGTCTGACCTCGACTTCTACAGAGAACCTCCGGCAGACGCGTCACGCTTGTTGTTCCTCCGACGGTTTGGTGACTTTGTGTTGAAGTGCACGCTCGTTTAGGAGCCGAGCACGTTGAGGTGCACGGCCGTCCTGCTCGCGGCGCAGAGGTAAACAGTGACCGGCTGTGGGTTTGTCGGTGATCCAGCACATCTGGGCAGCAGACCGTGCTGGAAACCAGCGCTCTCGCTCTCTGGAGACGCATCCCTGTAAGCCCGACCCGTCCTCGCCCCGCTCATCATCAGAGGCTCGCAAAGAGCAAGAAATCTTCAGGTGCAACGATGTCAGCAGGAAATAATAAACCGTCGCGTCAGTTCTTTACCTCAGGCAGACTCTAACGACGCTCATGCATATCTAACGAGAGCTGCACTTCTCCTCCGGTGGTGAAAGCATCAAAACGTTTGGCTCTTTCAGGACAATCCTGCAATGACTTGTGGTATTGGTGCAACTTCAGCTGTTTTAAATATTTAGCCTTTTTTGCCATTTCCCCCCCCCCCCCCTCATAGAAAATGAACTGAGCTCATTTTACATCCTTCAAATCTTTAGCGCTCTACAACCTTTTACTGCTCCTTTCACATTTTGCTCTGCTTCAGCTGCTTTCAGCTTCCTGCTGCAAATTTAAACTTTTCTCAGCTACTTTCAGCTGTTTTGTGCTCCATTCACATTCTTCCTGCTAACTACAACATTTTTGTGCTTCTCCTGACTTCTTTCTGCTAATTTCAGCTTGTTATGCTCATTTCAGCTCATTTCTGCAAGTTGCAGTTTTTTTCTGCCATTTCAGCTACTATTTAGCTGTTTCTATGCTTATTTTAGCCTTTTCAGCTAATTTGCCTTTTTTTTTTTTTTTTTGCACTCATTTCCACTTTTTCAGCCAAATTAAGCAAAAATGTGCTCTCTCCATGTCCTTCGGGTAATTTTAGCTTATTTCTACTGTTTTTTTTGTTGTTGCAAATTTCAGCTTTTTTCAGATAATTTCCACTTTTTTATGCTCATTTTTGCTGCTTTCAGCCAAATTCAGCAACATTGTGTTTTCTCCACTTCCTTCTGCTAATTTTAGCTTGTTCTACATTTTAAGGAAAGTTTTTAGCATCTTAGCTAATTTCAACCTTTTTCAGAGAAATTCACGTTTTTCCTGGTAATTTCTGCTACTTTTTTTTTTTTTTTTCTCATTTCAGCTCTTTCCACTTCATTTTTGTAGTTTAAGCTTCTTTCTGCCTTTTCAGTTACTTTTCAGCCTTTTTTGTTGCTAATTTCAGCTTCTTTTTTTTAAGCTAATTTCAGTGCTAATTTCTGCTTATTTAAATCTATTTCAGCAAATACGTGTTCCTTCTGCTTTCTTCTACTAATTTATGTAGCCTTGTTCGTCCATTTCAGCTACATTTCAGTATGTTTTAGCTAATTTCAGCTGTTTTTTAGAAGTTCTTATGCTGTAGCATTCACACTGCATTTTCGCAGGAAATGGAATTTCTCGTCTGTGCTTAGGTCACTCGAGGTCATTACCGTACGGAGCCCATCGTTCAGCAGAATGTCCTACCTGGAAGCTCACATCCCAGCAGCTCCACTCTCATCCCAATCCCTCCTGGAGACCACCTCTCTGGGTACAGCCGGACGAACTGCGCCACAGTCTCCTCAAAGTGTCGAAGCTCCGGGGTGTCGTAGTGGGTGTTCCCCTCGAAGATCTGCTCCGAACAAAAAAGCACTCGTAACTGAACTTCTGCGCCCACAGGTTCCACTCTCCTCCTTCACTCACCTTAGGTAGGTTGGTCCGGCCGTCCATGATGAAGATCCAGTCTTTTCCGGTCAGGCTGTGAGCCACTTTGTACTTCCTGACGAACGCCCGGTTGTCCGTGGACGCACCGCTCGCTGCGTCTCCGCCCCGTGCTCCCTGGGTGATGACTCCACGTATGGTTTTGGGCGCACCGAGGTCCACCTGCAGGCGTGGAGTTCAGACAACCGGATTGATGCCTTTCACGCAAAATAAATCTCCAAATTTGGAGCCCACACGGGTCACAAACAGAAAGTGAGGGAGCGACAGAAAATAAATAATCTCCATGAAGAAGAAATGGGAACGTGGTATATTCACCATCCTGCCCCAAACTGGAGCCACAGTACTCATCTGTGTTGAAAAGGTTTTCATTTGGCATCATTAGTCTCAACGGTCTTCTCTGCAGCGTTTTAAAAACTGCACTCTGACGCCACACCTCACCAGCTCTGGCTTTGGTTTGTTTTCCCATTAATTTAAAGAACTTACATGTTTGTAGTTTTGAAGAGGAGTGTTTTTCTGTACAAAAACTGAACAGGGAATCAAACGTTTTTGGTGCAAGTAATCGAGTGGGTAGGAGTGATAGATCCTGTGAGTGGAGGGTGCAAGTTTATCCACCACCAGGCACATGGGAGGAGCCAAGGGGTGGCCATTGGTGGCCGTGGCCCCCATAGATAAATCTTTTGGTACCCCAAACCTTTGAAGAAACTATACTCTAAAGCAGTTCCTTCAAATAATCGGGGTATAATCACACACACACACACACGAATGAATATGAATAAAATGAAAAAAAAAAAAACATATACACACACCACACGTTAGCGACCATCTTGGATTTTGACGTGGCAACACAGTTTTCAATAGTGACCATTCCCACAGTTAGATGCACACCTCACTTATTTTTCAAGTTATGAAGCTAAAAAATAAACCAGATGGACCGAAAGGGGTGGGGGGAGATAAACAGCGCTACTTATTTACTTATGTACCTACTTACTTATGTACCTACTTACTTATGTACCTACTTACTTATGTACCTACTTACTTATGTACCTACTTATGTACTTACTTACTTACATACATACTTATTTACGTACTTTCGTACGTACCCGTGTACGTACTTACGTAAATACTTACTTACATACTTGCGTACATACTTTCTTCTTTACTTACTATTTTAGTACTTACGACTTACGTATGTACTTACTTTCTTATTTACACATTTACATATGTACTTACTTTCTTACTTATTTACATACTTACGTACGCATTTACTTTTTTACTTACTTATGTACTTATATTCTTGTGTACGTACTTACATATGTACTTATGTACTTTCTTTTTTACTTTGGTGCTTATGACTTACATACATACTTTCTTATGTACTTGCGTACAACCATAAGTATGTACTTTCTTACGCATTTTCTTACGTACATACTTAATTTCTTATGTATTTTTCTTACACAGTATTTACTTTCTCACGTACTTGCGTACTTACTCCAATATGTACTTCCTTCCTTCTTTCTTTCCATCTAAACTTGCTGTTCTCGTCCTCACAAGCAGCACAACTCAACAAAACCGATTTACAGCACCTGTGCTGCAGGTGTGTTTAGCATCGTTATTACCCGTCGTGCACGTTTTCATATTTCAACTTGTAGCAGAAGTGGCGAGTTAGAAACAGGAAGAGCAGAATCTACAAGAAAGTTTGTTACTTTGACGAAGATCGATACAACGAGCAACTCTAGCTTGTCAACATCACCCGTTTGATTTCTCTTTAAAACCCATTCTTTACTTGTGGTTACTTTCCGTTTGCCCAGTTTTACACTTCTGTGTATTCATAAAACATCTGACCATCATATTGTTTGGAATCTGGTTTTAAGATTCAGAGGTGGCCCTCGTGTGCACAAAACGTGTCCTCCTGTTAAATTCAGTCAAAACGTGCAGGAATAAAACCCTCCTGTACCTGCAGCCACTCCTCTCCGGCCAGGGGCTGTGGAGGCGCTGGGAACCAGCCCGAGCGGCTGGCCACGAGGCGCGCCGTCCCCGGGTTCCACACCACGTCCCTGCTGGACGACGCAGAGATCTGGGCATCGGGGAGCAGCCCGGACATCAAGCCCTGCAGGTCTGAACACGGAGCATCTGGAGCGGAAAGCACAGGTTACTTCACTCGGACGGAATGGACGGAGCAGTTAAAGTTTTAAAAACACGGCTGCACCCCTCCCCACCAGGGAGCTGTTAGGATCTGCCGCAGCTCTGCTCTCCCGGCTGCTGAGCTTTAAGAGTTCAGACCAGAAGAAGCAGAAGAGGATGAAGGATACGTGTAACGCAGCACCGCTGCTTAATGTTCAACGTGCAATTAGGCTGCCATTAGCGAGATAAAAGCTCGTGTTAACTCCGCCGCTGCTCTGCGTTCATGCGTTTCACGGCTCACACGGATATTTAAGCGTCTTTTAATGTCGTTCATCCTGCTCGGGGTGCTTTATGCGCTGAAGAGTCGGTGCACTTGGAAAGTTTTTGGTGTTGAAGGCAACATATGAGGGGGAGACACGAGGACTAAGGGATGAGAAGCTGCAGTCTGGAAGGTGGTGAAATCAGTCTGAAGATTTGAGAGGGCACGACGAGTATAGGATTGTATCGTCTGCGTACACATGTAGGCCTGTCACGATAAATTTTGCTGGGCGATTAATTGTCTCAGAAATTATTGCGATAAACGATAATATCGTTTGAAATTTGACAATAATTAGTAATTATTGTCAAATTTAAGAAGAAATGTTAAATTTTTGTGTGCAGTACCTTTTTTTGACCACTGGACGGCAGTATAAGGCTGTTTGAACCGAAGGATGGATAGTGAGGGAGCGAACAGCATGTCTCTAAGAAAAAATGGAAGGGCCATCTCCGGTTCTCAAAATGGCGGACGCTCGGTGTGGTTTGAGCTCTTTAGCATTTGTCACACAAAGCTTTTAATAAAAAAATTTTAAAAATCAGTAAACAAGTTCTCAGCTTCTTTTTGCAGAGAAAAACAACTTTTTACACGAAGGCACGGGTTTCAACCGTGAATGTTAGAGCTTCGACAAGACGGAGTGTTTTTTTTTCCCTGAGGTCGAATTGTTAGCTTAGCTCGTAGCCTAGCTTCTCAGCTTAGCTGCTTTTAACGATACAAAAATGTGATTTTGGATCGTTAAAAGCAGGTGTTAAAGAGAAAAGAGAAAGGGAGGAGTCAGTGAAGAGCACTGGAGTTGAGCCTTTTGTCATCCAGTGTCTTCAGTAGAAAGAGAGAGACACGAAGAAACGATAAAACCAATAAATGAAAATGAGGTCGATAATTTTCATTTATCATGCGATTAATTGATTTATTGTTTATCACGACAGGTCTAACGAGGAGCTGCATTCTGTAAGGTGTTGAAATCAGTCTTAAGATATGAGTGCACCTACAGAGGGCGATGACGAGTATAGGACTGTATCGTCTGCGTACTCATGTACCTAGTACATATATTGTACATAATACAAGCTGCTGGGAGGAAGTGTAGGAAGAAAAAAAAGGGCAGGAGAACAACACAGCGGGAAGATGGAAGAGTGTGAGTGGTGAGAAAGAAAAGGAACAAAGATGGAGATGTTAGCGGTGCTGACGGTTTAAGAGAACACAGATCAAACTTTCATGCTGTTATGTCACTGCGAACGTAGAGATGTAAATAATGGATAAAACGCGCAGGAAGAAGGGATACTTGTGTGCAGGTTTCAAACCGTGCACCTGCCTCTGAGGTCACCCGTTAAGATTTAGCAGGTGTGGGTGTTCCTGTCGGAGCTAACGACAGTAGCTGCTGAGGCTGAACCGAATCACACGTTCCGATGGAAGAGTGGGAGCAGCGCCATGAATGATTGAGCAGCGAGTCGTTTCCCCAACCGAAAAGGAGCAAAGAGGAAGCTTCAGAGAGAGTTTCTTAACTGTGAGAAGAGGGGAACGAAGGGAGGAGGGGGCTGTTGTGGGAGTTTGAGACGGAAAGAAAAGCACGGAGATTAAGTGGAAGAGCAGCGGAAGATTAAAATGACACCGGTGGTGCCTCTGGTAGGAAGAACAGCAGAAGCTGCCTCTTTAATTAGCCGAAGTGTGGCTATTTTTAAAATGGCAGGGTTGGTTTGACAATTCATTTGAGTTTTATTGTGTTGGAATATACATTTTATTAAAAGTTTTTTGTTTTTTTTAATGAAGCAAACTGTACAGTTAGTGTACTGCAGCAGACGCTTGTTATTTTCAAACAGCAACGATTTGACCTGGAGGAGTCCAACCTGTGATCTGGCATCCGTAAAGCTCGAAGCGAAGGGCGATGCCGTTCTTCCACGTCTGTGGTCGGATCCGAACGAAGCGGGCCAGAACTGGCTGCGGGACACGGTTCAGGACCACCTCTGCTGGGTCGGTGTTAGCGTGGAAAATCTGGGAGACAAAAATAAAAGACAACCCAAAGAGAGACAAGTGTCTTAAATCAGTTTTAAAAGGATCTTCGATTAGTTGAAACAATAGATTTACAATTACTTCAACTGTAAAAATGAGACCGTACAAATACTGTCGGCGGTTTAGTTTATATATATATAAATAAAAATGACACACAGACATCGCCATTTTATTGACGCTGCAATGCATTCTGGGTAAATGACGATACATTGCTCCGATGAGAGCTAGATTCGGCAAAAATTTTAAATTTGGACATCTTTGTTGAAATCAGGTCTCTCTTGTAAATGAGTCCTCGAGGCTCAATGGGATTTACCTGTCTAAATAAAGGTTGAATGAATAGTTCCAATGTTAATATATATATGACGTTAGCACCAGAGCTAATATTTATGACGTTAGTTTCAAAGCTAACATATATGAGGTTAGTTCCAATGGTAATATATATGACATTAGTTCCAATGCTAATATATATGACGTTAGTTCCAATGCTTATATGACGTTAGTTCCAAATGCTAATATATATGACGTTAGTTCCAATGCTTATATGACGTTAGTTCCAATGCTAATATATGACGTTAGCACCAGAGCTAATATTTATGACGTTAGCGCTACAGCTAATGTATGACGTTATATCCAGAGCTAATATATATGACGTTAGTTCCAAAGCTAATATTTATGACATTAGCACCAGAGCTAATATATATGAAGTTGGCTCCACAGGCGTTCGCTCCAGAGCCAACATATATGACGTTTGCTCCGGAACCAATATTAATGATTTTAGACTCCAGACCTAATAGTATAAGCTTCAGAGCCAATATGCCGGTATATAAAAATATAGCGTTAGTTCCAGAGCTAATAGCACTCACCCCAGAGCTAATATATCTAGGCCTATATGGCGTTTGATCCAAAGCAAATAAATTAAACATCACAAGTTGATCACATTTGATGGTTTCAACCCATATATTGTTCATATGGACTGATACAAATATAACTATATTGTCACATGTTGTTACTTTTCAACGTTGAGTCCTTGTGTTTTAGTCTCCACTACAACTGATGAACATCATCGCCTCAAAATGCGTTGCACCGAAAAAATAATGGAGACGTCCTTAATTTAAAAATTTAATAAAAATGTACAATCTTTTAAGTAATTGGGAGTTTTCACATGTCAAACAAACTTTTAGTAGATTATAAAAAATAACATGTCCAATATGTGCAAGTAGTTGGAGATCCCTTTAAAGATAACAAATCTCTTGGTTCAGCACCCTCTCGCTGTGCACAGCTTCGCTCGGCTTCACACACTCAGTGGCAGGCCAGACAAAGCAGACAAACCAAACACGGATCCAATGTCACCCTCCCAGCTGTCGACGTGTTCGGAGGTCAGGGGTTCAGCACCGGGAGGCTGGGAAAACCCACCGAACTGAGGTATTTTCCTCTTTTTCCACCCTCTACGCTCACAAACATCGCTAACCCAACACGCTGGTGGCCGCCAAGACTCTGTGAGGGACGTGACCCGACACGACCGAGCGCAGGAAGCGTCTCCAGGTGGGCAGGATGCGAGAGATATTTACTTCCTAGGGCGCCCACCTAAACACATCGAAGTTCATTTCTCCTCCTTCAACCCTCACGTTTGTCTGTTTGCTCTTAGGTGACAGGTCAGAGGATAACCAGGACCAGGGTGGTCAAGCTACTTCAATCCGTAAATCCAAAATCATAGAGTGGACTCTGATTCGGCATGTTCCGTAATTGTACAGTGTTTCCTCTAATTTACTTGCCTCGGCAGGTCACTCATAATATCTTTAGTGAAATTTGTCGGGGGCACAGAGACACGTCCGTGTTGCGTTGTTTGTACCGACAGTTTCTGAGCCGGGGTGGAGACGGATCAGCGTGACAGAAGGGGAGCGCTGTCCGCTGTAGCTTAGCTAGCGTGTCTGTATTGCGTGCCGCTAGCTTAGCGCTACGTCAGTGCTGGCAGTGATGACAGGGCGGGGCGTCTTGCTTGTACAATGGTAGGGGAAACACTCATGTAGTTGCAAACTGCTTCTGAACACCTTGTGTTATCAAATTATTCATCAATGAAAACGCTAATTGTTGGGAAATGTGTGCTTTGACTTTTAGCGGTTGTGGCCTTCATACTTTTTGAATTATTTTATTTCCCAAAATAATAACTTTTTAATAACTTCAATGTTGTTCTCTAAAAAAATAAAATAAAATGCCGTATTTTCCGCCCTATAAGTCAGGTTTTTTTTTTGCATAATTTACATGCCCTGCGACTTATCGGCCGAAGCGACGTGTTAATGGACTTTTTCCCACATTTATAAACCCATTTTTGGTTGAGATATGACCATTTTCATTCATTCTGACTGAAAAAAAAAATTTGAGCAGTATCATTTTCAGCCACTTGATGGCAGCAGAGTAGTAATAGCTGTAAGGCATGCTGTTGTATCATGTAATAAATAAACGTGGCTATAATGACAAATTCAAAAAAGTTCGAGACAAAAACAACTGGACTTTATTTATTATACTTTGTTTTTTTTCTTGAACTTTTTTGAATTTACCATATCCCGGATGACCGAGAATCTTCACCAGCTATTAATGACTCAGTCGGCCTGCCATAGTCTCCCCACCTTCATTCTGCTCGTTGCTTGGAACCGTCAGAACTGCAGCACACTGACGAAATGCAGCTAATTTGACCATTAAAGTATATTTATTAAGCAAATGTTAGACTGAGACACACCTTTACTATAATTTCGAGCAAACAAATAATAGTTTTTAAGTGTTAATCTTGTTCAAGTCTTGTTAAAGTCCTCCCGTGCACTTTCCCGCAGCCGCCATTTGGCAGCCCATAGGTTTTTGGCACTACACCGGTCCACATGTCCAGGTTGTCAGCGGTGACGCGTAGTAGATGCAACATATACGGCGAAGCGACATATTTATGGATTATTCCACTTTATTAGACAAATATGGACTGATGCGACTTATAGGGCGGTGTGACAAGTACGGCGGAAAATACGGTACTTGCTTTATTCTCGTCTACTCCAGCTACTATTTAGCCAATTTTAGCCTCTGTTTCAACTCTAGCAATTCATTCTCAAACTACTTTATTATTTAAATCTAGCTAAATAACATAATTGCTGCACAACGTCTCCTACCCCATGCATGAAGCTGTGGCTGAACTGGAGCTCGTTCAGTGACAGATTACTGCGTCCTAAATGCACAAAGGAGCGTTACCGCAGGTCCTTCGTCCCAGCAGCTGTTACTCTACAACCATCACTGCTCCCAACAGACTCAATAAGGATTAAATACATGCTGACCTCTGCTCAAACACACACTCTGCCTATAATACTGTACTGTAAATAGTCTGTCTTTATCAATGTTCCAATACATATTGAACATTATTATTGATATGGTTTATTTCTTTATATATTGTTTTTAACATTTAGGAACTTTTGTGTGAATCTTTTTATCTGTTGCTGCTGTTACACTTGAATTTCCCATCCGTGGGACAATAAAGGCCGTTTCTATTCTATTCTAATTTCCGCAGCCATTCAGTGCACACACTAATTGTTTAAGTTATGAACAACTTCCTCCTTTTCCTTCCCTCTCTACACCCCGTCTCTTCGTCTCAGACTCTTTTTTTCCTCTTTACACCGCACTGTTGACGTCTCTTCTCACCTCCTCCGTCTTATCCTTCTTTTGTTGGTGGCTACTAACCGAAACCACACTGACACAGGAAACCACAGGGACCCACACCAACACAAACTCAGATAAGCCCAGAGGAAGTGGCTTTTTACTGACTGAGTGACTGTTAAGTGTCGCTCACGTCGTCCGTCTTCGGCTGACGGTTGGGCTGCGGTTCTGCTTCTGCGCACGATGAGGAGATGGAGGAACGCCGGCTACAAGCAGCCGAATTAAAGCTTAAAGGCATCATTTCCAAACAAAACTTCCTTTTATCCGAGCACAGGATGATCAAACACCAACAAGAGTACTGGATAGGGCACATTGTATGGTGGGAGCTCCGCTGCGACTTGCTCATTTTTTGTTCCTGTTGTTTTAAACTTTTTTTGAGTCTACACTGTACACCCACACTACGGGTATGGCCGCGACGCACTCTTAAGAGTTTCGTGTGTCGCTGCCTTGCCATCCTGCCATCATGGTTCAGTTCCCGGCCTCCTTCCAGCCTCGCGCTCAGGCTCCGGCCTGTCATGGCGGCCGTCTCCATGATCCTCCATCTGCCTGCACGGATCGAACTCTACCGAACAGTTCCGTTCCGCGGGGAAACCTTGGATGTTCTGTGCCTGCCGGACTCCGTTCTGGAGGGCAATCATCGGCCGTTGCCACGGTCGTTATTATTATCATGCTGTTAAGACCACGCCACTAACAGAACCAGAGTGACAACATTACCATGCTGCTAACAGGACCATGTTGCTAAAAGAACCTCACTGCTAACAAAATCACTCTGCTAATAGGACCATGCTGCTAACGGGACTGCACTGTTAACAAGACTATGTCGCTAACAGAACCACACTGCTAACATCACCATGCTGCTAACAGGACCATGCTGCTTAAAGAACCTCACTGCTAACATTACCACAATGCTAACAGGACCATGCTGCTTAAAGAACCTCACTGCTAACAGTATCATGGTGATAACAGGACCAGGTTGCAAAAAGAACCTTGCTGCTAACAGTATCGTGATGCTAACAGGACCATGCTGCTAAAAAAAACCTAGCTGCTAAAAGTATCATGGTGCTAACAGGACCATGTTGCTAAAAGAACTTAGCTGCTAACAGTATCATGGTGCTAACAGGACCATATTGCTAAAAG